ATACTACACTTTGATCTCAGCTCCAGGGGAGGATTGAATCCCCGGGATCAGGCATCCCTCATTTATTTGTTGTGTTCTCTCAGAAAAACAACTGAGAGTTAAGATGTAGTTTTTTTTCCATCCGAAGGCAGATACTACACTTTGATCTCATGTAAAAACGCTTGATTGATTGTATCCACAACACTCTCGACTTGAACAGGTTAAGATTGTAGTGATCGGGGAAGGTTCCTCTTGGGAGTCGGTTTCACAAAGTAAGATGTAAGAAGCAGTGTTTATGAGAATATATGAAGAAAATAACGGTCAACCCTAGACTTGAACAGGTTAAGATTGTAGTAATCAAGAAAATAACCTCCGGGGAGTTGATTTCATAGAGCAATGATTCATGGGAATAAGCTGTTCGAGTGGAAGGCCGAGGATATGTTTTTGGACTCTATCGTAACAGGAGATGAGGACTGGGCTGTTCCCACCCAAATATAACGATAGCAGCTCGGATTGAGAGCCAAGTTCGAATTCTAGTCAGATCCATTGCATTCACACGGCTAATAGCCTAGGGAAAGGTATGAATCCTCTTCTTCTCCCCCCAGCTATGGGTAAATAGCAGGACAGACCGGGTTCTATAGACTTGGATTGCAACTGGTCTACCGCAGAAAAAAATGCCAACCTACTACAGGAAAAAAATCTGCCTTGTCAGTCATGTATCGAAAGGTACATGATCGCTTAAGCGTGTATCACACCTGTCACATAACTGTCTGACTGACTTCATTTTCGGCCTGATCTGGCTCTTGTAAAGGTAGAGAATAGCGTGCAATGCCAGGTACTTCTCACTGGAGTGGTACAAGGAGCTGACCATTTTACCTGCATCTTTAGCGAGATCATATGTATGAGTTCTACTTGAGGTCAGATGTGAGTCTGAGGCCCAATAATCTCTCAAGGCACAGAGCCTATGGGACACATTCATTCATCAAGACTGGCGTTAGTTTTATGCTATTATATTTGATTCATTATTTGTTTGTTTTTACAAAACGGTTTTATAGTCGAAGCATTCTTTAATGGTTAAAGTAAATAACTTCATGAGATCGCTAAAAAAAGAGCATAGCTTGATGAAAAAGACGCCAAACTTGACGAAAACAAAATTTTATCGTCTAAATGTTTATGTTATAATTAAGAGGAAAGATCAATTTTTTTTTTTAATTATTTTTAAAAAATTTTCCTTCTTTTTAGAACATTCTAAATTTTGATTAAAAAACCTTGTTTCTCTTTGTACCAACCGGGGCTAGTAAATAACATAAACAATTTTTAGCACGCTTGTTTTTGTTTTTTGTTTTTTTGTTGTTTTTTTTTACACACATTAATTTGGAAAATCTTGCAAAAATAAAAATAATTGTCGGATGTTAATGAAACTTTCAGAAACTATTAATAAATAATGATGGAAATTATTATAAACGTTTTTTTTATTAAAGTCATGACAGAATTTTTTTTTTATATTTATTACACCCCCACCACCAACTAATTTTATGAAAACTCTAGAAATTCGATCAAATACAGTTTAGTGATTACAATAGTTAAAAGCACAAGGCTTTGAGGAATGCAAATCATTTTGTTTTTTAATTGACCACCAAACCTAAAAATCAGCTCTGAATTGTAACATAAAAAACTCAATAAAACAAAGATATTATTCAATTTCAAATGCTTTTATTTGCTTTTACTTGTTTTTATGAATATGGACAATATTTTCTGAAAGCAAAAAACTTTTTCGATGTAAAATGAATTTTTAATACAACTATTTGTTATAATAGATTTTTACATTTACGTTATTAAAAATATTATAAAATTAGTTAAAAGCCGCATCCACTTTCGTAAATGTCCTTATGAGATAGATATTTTTTATGGCGTTGAAAATTGTATCGTTTTGACTAATTAAAACGCCCGCAATAATTAAGAAATGTAATTTTGTGTTTATAATCGGGCTGTAATTATAAAGTACGGAAGACCAACCAGAATACAATTAAGTTGCGTTATTTGAGTTTAGCATTGTTCTCCGCTGTTAAGGCCTTTACTTTTGCGAAACACGCGTGGAGAAGTTAATTTGATTTTTCAATTTCAACTGAGAAGGGTACCTACAAGTATCAGTATCATCTTATGAAATTTATATGATCTTATTTTTATATTAATCACAGTTATGACATTTTTCCATAAATGAAATATCAAAATTAATAAGAAAAAGAATGGAAATGCAAATAACACAGTAAAATGTAATAAATATACATAATTTTTATTTTATTTTATGTACACTTCTGATAAAATTTCATAAGAATGGTACCTATAAATTAATTAGATACCATTCTTATGAAATTTAATCTCACTCTTAACAGTCTTATTTTAATTTCTTTATGATATATTTTCATAAAGCATCGTAAACGTAAAGGTGAAAACTAAGTACAAAAACAAAATTAGAGCGCTGAAAGTTTTCCTTAAAAATAACGAGGTAAATAATTTGTTCACTTAAATCTAAATAATTTCACTTCTCTCCTTCCGTAGAAGAAATTATCCTCACGTAATCCGTCAATACATCATTCATCACATGTCAAGTGACGCGAAATGTTATGACCTGCTTTGTTTAATTTCCAAGTTACACCTTTTCGGCACAGAAACTAAATAATGCTGGTTTCAAAATATTTTAAATAAACATTATAATTTCTGATTTTCTTAAAATAAGTTTTGAAAAAATAATAATTGATTTTTAAAAGAATTTGAAACTGAGATTTTCTTATTTTTTATAAAATGGAAAAAATTGCTGACTCAAAAAAAAAAACAAGATTTTAAATGTAAAAAAATAGCCCAAAATACTTTGATCTTTCCTCTTAATAATAACATAAACATTTAGACGATAAAATTTTGTTTTCATCAAGTTTTGCGTCTTTTTCATCATGCTATGCTCTTTTTTTTAGCGATCTCATGGAGGCACCTAGGTTAAAGAAAAAAATCTTCTGACCAGATTTGAACTCGCATCGATTTTTAATGAGTTATGTAAGAAGTCAATTAATATACTCTTTAATCTCCGTGATATTTATGTTCTACTTCACGTAGTTACGCAGCCTATCCCCATTGTAGCAAGAAGGGAAGGGCCGGGGTACCGGACTAGTGCTAAAAGTAAATCTACTGAATTCTGATTGGTTTGACATCCTGTTCTTTGGTTTGTTGAAGAAACCGAACCGGTACAACTAATCTCCTGGGTCTTAACTATGATTTTCTAATCAACTCTCTATTCAGGGCGCGTCGGTCGGTCGGTCGGTCGGTCGGTCGGCAGCGACAGGAAGCCTCCCTCTCCTCTGACCGTAAAAACAGAAGTGTGTTGTAAGTAAAGAAAGATCTACGAACTGTACTTCATATGCGTCAAGTAATTTTAGATCTTTTCTCTTTAATCTTGAGTTACGCATATCCCATCCCATTCGAGACACCGGCGAGATTTCATTTCGTTAGCAAAGGCATTTTCTTTTCTTTTCTAATCTACGCCAAGTTTTGCGATCGGTCCCCCACAACACTGACAATGTGCATTTTTTTATTTATTTATTTATTTATGTATGCTAAGCAAGCTTACGTGGTGGTGGTGGTGGGGGGGCTTTGCTTGGCTCTTGTTTCCAGTCCTTCTTCTGCAGCAAATTTTGCTGATTAGATATCCATCTTCTTTATCGTTTTCGTTTGCTTCTAATTTCATCCTTCTTTTGCTTTCTCTACTGAATCCTCATCATCGTCTTCAAATACTTTATCTTGTGTTTTATCTTTCTCGTATTTTTTCTTTCTTTTTCTTTCTTTCCATTCCTTCCGTCTTCTACTCTTCATATATATATATATATATATACATATATATATATACAGTGTAACCCGGATATAAGAGAGTTGTCGGGACCGGAGAAGAAGTCTCTTATATCCGGGTTTGGTCTAATTTATATACATTACACAGGCTCTAATTTGGGAACAGAGAAAATCTCTCTTATATCCGGGTTTCTCTTATATCCGGGTCTCTTATATCCGGGTTACACTGTATATATATTTGTTGCCCCCCCTTTTCCATTTCCTTCCGTCTTCTGCTCATGTTTACATATATTTTTGCCATCTCCGCCCTCGCCCCACACACACTGTTTCCATTTCTTTCTGTTTTCTACTCTGGTTCATATATCTTTTTGTTCTACACGCCCCCCACACTTTTTACATTTCCTTCCGTCACCTGCACTGGTTCATATTTTTTTTTTATTGCTCCGCCCCCTTTTTTATTTTCCTCCCGTCTTTTTCTCATCTCCACATACATTTTTATTGCTCGCCACCATCATTTTGTCTTCACATATTTTTTTTTTGTTTCTCCCCCCACTTTTTATTTTCCTTCCGTCTTCTACTCTACTCCATATATTTTTTTGTTGCGCAGCACCCCCCACTTTTTTTTTTCCTTCCGTCACCTATTCTGGTTCATATATATTTTTATCGGCGCCACTTTTTGCTTTCCCTGCGTCTTCTTAAGAATTGTTAATAAAGAGAGCCGAGTTCCAATTCCAGTCGGGTACGTTAGATGTCACTTTGAGAAAGCTATAAATCCACCTCTCCTCCCCAACATATGAGTTAATTAGTAAAACTTGTATCACTAAAACTATTACTTACTTTAAAAAATGTTTACAAAATATTGAGTTTTCGGCATTAAATAACCTGAAAAGGGTTGATATACCGCTAAATACCCAACCAATCTTCCGTCTTCTACTCCAGTTCATATATATTGTTGTTGCTTTCCTTCCCATCATTCATTTCTTTCATCCGCCTTCATCTCATGACATAATATGATATTTTTATCTCCTAGGCTTTATATTCTGACTCATTTTTCTGTTACTTTTTTTTTTTCATCTCTTCATATTTTTTTCCTTTTTCCTTCTTCTCCAAACCTTTTCTTTTTCCTTTACTCTTTTTCCCTCTTTCTCGTTTCTTTATCGACATTTGACATTTAACGTAACATACAGACACTTTTTTCTTCTTCAACGTCCTCATCGTTTTTCTTCTCAATCCTTTACTTCTTCTTCTTCTTCTTCTCCTTCTTCTTCTTTATTTCCGTCTGCTTCTTCTTTCTTTCTTTTCGTTTCCTTCTTCTTCCTCTTCTTCTTACTTCCGTTTGCTTCTCCTTCTTTCTTTCCGTTTCCTGCTGCCGCTTCTTTCTTTCTTTCTTCTCACTTTACGTTTACTTCTTCTTTCTGTTTGCTTCTTCTTTCTTTCCGTTTGCAGCTGCTGATTTTTTCTTTCTTTCTCTCTTTCTCTCGGTTTCCTTCTTCTTCCTCTCCTTCTTACTTTACGTTTGCTTCTTCTTTCTTTCTTTCTTTTATTTGGCTTCCGCTTCTTTTCTTTTTCTTTCTTTCTGTTTGCTGCTGCTTCTTCCTTCTTTATTTATTTCTGTTTCCTTATTCTTCTTTTTCTTCTTCTTGAAGTTTGCTTCCCTTTCTTCTTCTTTCCGTTTGCTGCTGCTTCTTTCTTTCTTTCTTTCCGTTTGCTGCTGTCTCTTTCTTTCTTTCCGTTTTCTTCCGCTTCTTCTTTCTTTCTTCTTTCTTTCTAATTACTTCTTCTTACTTTCCGTTTGCTTCTGCTTCCCTCTTTCTGTTTGTTTCTTCTTCTTCCTTCATTCTGATTTCTTCTTTCTTTCCGTTTTCGTCTTCTTTCTTTCCGTTTGCTTCTACTTATTCTTCTTTCTTTCCGTTTTCGTCTTCTTTCTTTCCGTTTGCTTCTACTTATTCTTCTTTCTTTCCCTTTGTTTCTTCTTGTTTCTTTCCATTTGCTTCTTCTTCTTCTTCTTCATCTTGTTTCTTTCCATTTGTTGCTTCTTCATCATCATTTTGTTTCTTTTCGTTTACTTCTTCTTCTGTTTTTCTTTCTTTTTTTTTTCCGTTTGATTCTAACTTCTCTTCTCGTCTCCTATTGATTTCTTCTTGGTCTTTCTTCTTTGCCTTCTTTTTCCTAAATTTTTTATTTTATTTTCCCCTCTTGATCCGCTTTTTCCTTCTTTTTTCTCCTTAGTCTTTCTTCTTCTTTCTCATCATCTCCTCGATTCTTCTTCACATTTTTCTTCTTTTTTTTTCATTTTTTTTCTTTTTTAGTCATTCTTTATTTCTCCTCCTATGTATTCTTTCTTCTTCTTCGTTTTCTAATGATGCCTTTTCCCTTAGTATTTTTCCCTCTTTTTATTTTTTTATTTCTTACCTTTCTCCTCCTTTTTTCCTCAAATGATTTTTTTTTGTTTCTTGGTTTTCCATTTCTTTTCTTTCTTCTTTCTTTCTTTTTCTCACCTTCCTCCCCCCTCCTTTTCTTCGTCTTTTTTCCTTCTTTCTTTCTCTCATCTTCCTCCCGCCCTCCTTTTCTTCGTCTTCTTTCTGCTTTCTTTTTCATCGTCTACCTTTCTTTTCCAAAATCTTTGTTCGTTTGCTTCAATTCTCCCCATGTAAAACAAGTCCAATGTGAAACCATAAATTTCATCTTTCTGTGGATTACCCCCCACCCTGTGTTTTCATTCAACTCATTTGTTCTTTAGCAGCAGTCATTCACACCAGCCCAGGGCTTTCGATTCACCAGAGAACTTTTTTCGATGTTCTTTTCAACTCTTACACAAAATAAATCAGTAGTTTTTTTTTGTTTGTTTTTTGTTTTTTTTATCTACATTTCAGTTTCTCTTAATATACAATTTATTATTCTTAAAAATTTCCTTTGTGATAAAATTTTAAAATGTAAACCGAAGTTATCTTAAAACGTTATGATCGTCGAAAGTTCGTATATGGCTAACATTTTTACTATACAATATATGCATATATATATATATATATATATATATATATATATGTGTGTGTGTGTGTGTGTGTGTTATAGATTTACTAATTCAAAAATATGGTTCCATAGGAATTAACATGTTTCAAAAACAGAAACTAAAAAATTTCAAATTGAAATTCCTAGTACTGTTTCATTTTCAAGCGAATTTTGGAATAGTTATTTTGAGGGATTTTAATAGAACCGCGCATATAATATATAAATAATAATATATATAATATATTACACACACATACACCCCCACACACACATATATATATATTTATATACACACACTTTTCACACACACACATATATCTATCTATCTATCTATCTATCTATCTATCTATATATATATATATATATATATATATATATATATATATATATATATAGAGAGAGAGAGAGAGATAGACAGACAGATAGTTATGAAGCTGAATATAAGCATTAGTAAACCATCTGCGTTTCTTAAGAAAACGTGAAATATTTACGCACACACATATATAGTGTTTGTTTGAGGGACTGTTTTTTGATGACAAAATTACTGATTTATAGTGTTTTGCTGATAGAAAGGCATTTAAGGCAAGCAGGCTTTGTTGTAGAGTGCTCAATATCAGAGATAATGATAGAGCGTTAATAGAATTAATGAAAAAGTTTGTGCATTTAAATGACCAGTATTTCTATCATGCTAACTTTGGTGTTTCCTGGTCACTCCGAAGTCAGCATGACGGACGTACTGCTCAATTAACTTTTTCCTATTATTTTTATATGTATGTATGTGTGTATGTATGTGTTGTGTGTGTGTGTGATGTGTGTCTGTGTGTGTACACACTCATCTAGTATGTATAAAATATGTATAAATATAATATATATATATATATATATATATATATATATATATATATATATATATATATATATATATATATTAGTGGTAAATATACATATGCAAAATATATAAATATATATACATAGGTGCATACCCATACATGTATATTTTTGAATAAAAATTCCAAGAGGATAGAATATTAGTGTTTAAGCCTTTTATTATATATATATATATATATATATATATATATATATATATATATATATATATATATATATATATATATATAAACTGTATTGTATTGATGACACACATAGCAATAGTCATTTGTTTCCAAATCCATTTACGCTCCTCGTCCGTTCAATTACCGGCCATCGTTAAATTACAACTTTACCTGCAAAACACGATTAGTAAAATAATTTCTGAATTTAAAAAAAAATTATTTCATATTTTTATGTTTGAATAAGACTTTGAGATTCAAGGCAGCGTAACAGTTGTAGAGATACGAAAAATGGTTTCGACAAGACGAGTTCGAATTTAGTCTGTTGCTGATTGCATATGAATTATCCTTTCAGAAAGGATAAACAATGTTGTAACTCATCGCCAGAGTTTTAAACAAAAATATCATCTTCCCAGGACTGTTGAGGAATTGAGTAGTACTTTTGACAAACTACTCTCTCATATCTGTTACCCAAACAATAAAGATCTTATACTCGTTGTCATTCTAGATAGGGGCCAGAATGAAAACAAAATTATAAAATAGACAAGTGACTTTCCACTGACAAAAAAATCATCGAAAGCTTTACCTGTTGAACAATTAAGCGAGGTAAGACTGAGAACAATTTAAAATTAATGGGTGCGGTTTACACACGAGGATGGTAGGAAAACCGACCCCACAAAAGAATGTAATCAAAAATACGAAAGTCATTGTAATATATCTAATCTTCGATTGTTTTGTAAGCAACTGAAGATGTTGACCAGAATTTAGGTTGTTTAATTTGAGTGCAAGAATTAATATTCTTAATTAAATGATGGCTTCTTGCCACGAAACTCTACTTTGTGAAACTAATTCCCATGCTTCCCCGATCACTCTAAACCTGTTCGAGTCTAAGGTTAACTGTTAACTTTCCCACATATCTTCATAAACTGTACCCAATTCTTACTCTGTAAACCTATACATCGACTGGCTCTTGGGTCTTGTAAACATTATTGTAAATAAATAATGATATACGGAAAAAGATTCAATGTAGCTAAACTAGAATTCTTCGACGAATAAAGTATGGAATAATGGATAAAATAATTCAATGACTCATTTTTTTTTATTTTAATTTTTTCCTCTTTTAGTTGCTTAAGCCGCACTGATATCTGTTATAGAGTTATTTAGGATTTAGTCAACATTTCAGTGCTGTTACTTATTTTAAAAAAAATATGTAGTTCTCGAGTTACAAAGAGGTTTGAATCCCCCTGTTGAATGTTGAATACCTCACCTAGGGAGTTGCAGTACTAATATCATTTAACATAATAGCCTTGAATTTTCTTTCTTTCTATTTTTTGTGTTTGGGTCATAAATCAAATCACAAACACTAATGCAGCGGTCCTCGATTTACGACAGAGTTCCGTTCCTACGATGCGTTGTAACGCGATTTTCCGTGTAAGTCGGGACCTGCCAACGATTTTCCGGGAATAAACACTTACGTCACTCACAAAAGTAATAATCTAGGACATAACAACACATTTCTATAACATATGCTAACATAATTAGAACTAAAAAGAACACATGGAGGGCATAAATATAATGCATATAATGCACATGAAAATAATGCATATAATGAAATTATTTTAAGCTGCTTGTGTATTTATTGTCAACACAATACAATATTTGTTGACAAACATAACACGAAGGAAGAAAACCGAATGCATAATAATCCAATATGGCGTACAATCAGGAACTGAACGACGCCGCCTTCCTTATTCAACTGTTGTATTCTTCCATCACACAATGCATTTTTTGTCTGGCCGTTTGCGCCGTATGTACGAGGCAAATGGCATAAGTCGATACAAGATTAGTGGAGATTGTGTCGTAACCATAAATCGTCGTTACTATAAAAAGGCAAATAACAAATCCTATGTGATATTTGTACTCGCCGGCCTTTCTCAGTGGCATAAAAATATGTTTTTACCTTGTTTCTGAGGACCAGAAAACATCAGCAAAAATAAAAAGACTAATAACAAATACTCGATAATATTTCAATTTATTGTAGTGTAGTTGTAATGATGAAATAATGTAAAAACTTGAATGACACTCCGAAAGTAATACCTCCTAATTATTTTAACAGAAATGACAACAGATCTGGTCTGGTGCTTCTGCTATATATCGAGAGATTCTTGGTAAAATACAAAGAAGAATCTGCAATGTTATCTGCCCTGACCAGACATCTCGTCTTCAGACGTAATGTATTTTCTATAAATATTTTCCCGGTAATTGTTCTGATGTTCTCTTTCGTACGTCAACTTCACAATTTTAAGCGCAGTACTAGATTACCAGCATAATATCACTGCTGCTAGTTGTAACCGTAAGTTCTATGCTAATAGTTTCTTCTCTTGCACTTCTTGCTTGTGAAACTCTCTTCCCACTTCCCGATTTCCTTTCAACCACGATCTTCAAACATTTAAATAAATAATTAAATAATTCTTTTATGTTCTTTTATTGTCCTCTCTTTTTCTTTCACTTTCAATAACCCTTTGCATCCTTGTTGCTTTTATCCCTTTGCTTGGGAGTGAAATGAATAATAATAATAATAATAATAATAATAATAATGGTGAAGAAGAAGAAAAACAACAACAACAACTCCTCCTCCTCTTCATTTCATAGTTTGATAGCTAGGGTATTTCAGAACAGGAGTTTTCGCATACATTACTAATGTCCCTATTGAAATGCATTACGCGCTTTCTCTGCTCATATCCAATGTGTGCTCTTCCTAGACGGTCAGTAATACTGCATAAAAAAACAACTAAATTTATTTTCAAAGTTAAAAAAAAATCGTTTGATGCAAGTACATTGATATCAACATTTTCTCCAATCATTCTTCTGACTAATGACGCACGAATATGTTGCACGTTTCGGATCAATACATGTCGATTTTAGAAAAGTGCGTTGCTCCCCGTTATGTATTAATAGATGCTAGACATTAAAATATAGACTAGATATATAGAGACCAGATACTATTATAATGCGGCTATTAAGAAGAAAGTCAAGATAAGACCAGGGATCCATTGCTATTCAGTTTTACTGCCGATATAACATCCTTAGTAGATATATACCAAGCCATCTTATGACAGGTTCGTAAATCCCATGGATCATTATTTGCACGCATCGTAACTCGGAAACAAAATATAATACATATTGTAGATACTGGGTTGGAACAAAAGGCCATATCGATTTGTAAATGGATTTCAAAGACAATATTTAAATATTTGTACATAGATTTATTCAAACACATCTGTGCCATTTTGTTTCACTGCCTTTCGCCATCTTTGAAGCAGCTTCATGATTCCATCTTCCCAGAACTTGGCATCCTACAGGGTAATGAACTGGTCTAAGTAGTTTTACAGGTTTCCATAGAATGGAGGTTCTTCCCCTTAAGAGAATTTTATAGGGATCGAAATAAATCGTAATCCAAAAATCCAAGATCAGGTAAGTATGGCCGATGTCGTGGAACATTGCAGCCAAACCGTTACAATTTCTGTCGGTTCTGTAAAAGGACTGATCAATGATGAAACCATTCGTATTGGCCAATTCCGGGCGCTTTTCAACGATTGCTACCTTTAATTCGTCCAAATGGGAACAGTACTTGTCTGAATTGAACGTCTGATTTTATTGAAGGAACCCCTAATGCACAAGGCCTACCCAATCCATCATATATACAAGGTCATCTTCTTCGGATGCAGACTGGATTTTGGGGTAGTTTATGGTAGCTCAATTCATTTTTGCCAGAACCTTTTTGTTCTTCATTGTTAAAATATTGGGGGGCGAGGGGGGTATCAACATTATTTTAGTGGCGTTTAAGGAATTCCATAAAAGTGAAGCTTTTCTCATTAAGACAATTTCCTAGGGATCAAAATAATAAGTAAGTCGAAGGTGCAAGTCTAAAGCGAATACGGTGGGTGTAACAATTTCTGTAGGATCTGAAAAGATTTGTATCGTCCGGCGTTTCCCTGAAGGAATACAATATCCTTGAAACTGGCCAATTCCGGACATTTTTCATCGATTGCTAACTTTTAATTGAATACCTCGAAATTGTGAACACTACTTGTCTGAATTCAGACGACGAAGGATATCAAAAGGATATCGTAATACACAATGTCCTTCCAGTCACTCCAGATACATAACATAACCTTCGGATACAGAACGGTTTTTGGGGTAGTTAATGGTGGTACGATTCACGTATCAAAGTATTTTCAAATGTCTTACTACGTTTATTTAAGGTATGTGAAGTATGTCTGCGATACTCCGTGTCGTGTGACATGTTATTTTTAACCAGCGTTTCGTTTGGGTCATCATTAACAATGGCAGACCTTTCACCAACTTTGAGGCAACTTCATGATTCCATTTTCCCAGAACTTGGTATCTTTATGGGTGTTGAACTAGTCTATGTTATTTTTACAGACTTCCAGGGAACTGAAGTTTTTCTCATTAAGTCAATCTTGTAGCAATCGAAATAATTAGTAATTCGAAGGTGCAAAGCCAGGTGGATACGGTAGGTGCAGCAATTTCTGTAAATCTGTAAAAATTTGCGTCGTCCGGCGTTTTCCTGAAGGAAGACGACACTCTTGAAACTGACCAATTCCGGACACCTTTTGTAGATTGGTCCCTTTTAATTGGTTTAATTGGGAACAGTACTTGTCTGAATTCGATGTCTGATTTTACGGAAGGAAATCGTAATAAACAGATTCCTTCCAATCACTCCAGATACACAGCATCACCTTTTTCAGATGCAGACTAGCATTTGGAGTGATTAACGGTAGTTCATTCTGTTTTCTTTAGCACATTTTTCACTTCAAACAGTTGTAAGCAAACCAATTTCCCTCGCTTGTGGTCGTTATTGTAAAAAGTAGTTCGTTTTCTTTGCGTTTAAGCAGAGAATTGTAAATGGAAATGGCCCATTAATTTTTCTACTAAAGCTCTCAAACATGATAGCGATTACTGTGTCCAAATGCTTTCAAATGTCTTACAACATTCACATGCGGAGTACTTCTGTGATGTCCCATGTCGTTGATATGGATTAATTTCAGCGTTTCTTGTTGGTCATCATCAACGACTGCAGGCCTGCCGAGATTGTCGAGGTCTTTCAGATTAAAATGTCCACTTTTGAACGTAGGAAACCACTTATATGGCACCATCTTAATAAATAACACCTATCTTTTTGCTGCTTGTGCAGCATTTGGTCCTTTCTTGAAATAAAAAGGCAACAAATAATGAAAATCCATCTCACCGTTTTGCATCTTCGCTTTTAGCGTAAAAACATTTCAAATTCACAATCCTCCAAAGGATTGTATAGAAAGAAAATTTCAGAAAATGTCATAAATTTCTGTCACGCGTAAAACGAAATTTGCTCAAACGCAAATCATTGAAAAACGCTGCAACTTTTCTTCCAACTCAAAATATAATGCGGCATATTTATGCTGAAGATCAGGGGATAACTTCATTAGGGAGTTAACAGTGATATCATCTTTTTAGACCTTTACTTCCCATATACAAAACTTTCCCGTCGTTTTCGACGTATGAAGTACTGCAATTCAGTTCTTAGATCCGAGCAGCCAGTACTATCCACACGTATGATTTGATTCTAGTGGTGAATACTTATGCAAAACCAACCACACTTTTTTTGCAGAATTAGAGAACTGCACCCAAAACGATCCGCCTCAGGTTTTGAATTCAAAGTCGTCCTACTGATAGACAGGTTGCCACCCAGTCTGTCCGGCCATGTCTTGGGAGGGGATGGATTCATACCTTTCCTAAGGGTATTTACACGTAAGTGAATGTAACAAACTTGGCTAGGATTCGAACACTGCTCCCGATTCCTCAATCTGAATTTTTCTATATATGATTATAACAAAATTATGTCTATAGAATAAAGGTAGACATTAATCGTCGACACCTCAAATTAAGTAAGCGCCGGTAACGAGTATATTTATTTCTGACAGACAGAGTGTGAAACTGACGTTGGAAGTTATCTGCTCAAACTCCAAAATGACTAAAGGTTGATTCTATTTTGAGCAAAGATAACTAACGCCCCCCTCCTGACAGATCAAAAATCGAGGCCTAAAAATAACCGGCGTGAGTCAATTCTTTGTAGCGCGCGATTAGTTAAAGGTTTTTGCGTTAAACACGGCTTCAGTGACTGATGCGGCAGGTGAGCTAATTTCTCTCTCGCTTATCAACTGATGACTGACTTGCAGAATAAAAATAAAACGTTCACCAAGTCTATTAAATGGCAGATAAGTACTTTCAACATTGTAAGTCTTTTCCCCTGTCTCAGAAGAGTGGTTCCTCCCCAAATCTTCCAATACTTCAATCCTTCTCTCTTCTTTCTCTCTCCCACCCTCCATTCTCTCTCTCCTTCTCCCCCTTCCCTTCCTCTCTCTCTCCATTTCTTCCCTCCCAACCTCTCTATCCCCTCTCCTTCTCACCTTCTTTCTCCATAACTATCTCATTCTTTCTCCCTCCTTCACGCTCTCCTTATTTCCCTCCCACTTTCTCCTTCCTTCTCTCTCTACCTATCTATCTTACTCTTTCTCCACCTTTTCCTCTTTCCTTATCTCCCTCCCTTTTTCTCTTTCATTCTCTCTCTCTCCCTAACTATATCACTCTTTCCCTCCCTCTTTCATTGTCTCCCAGCCTCTCTCTTTCTCACTCCCTGTCTCTTAAATGCCACGTCTTTTCATAACGTAAGCGATCATGGCTCTCCACAGGTTCTATTGCTTTATTAACTGTAAATTGCCAGGTCTTTTGGGAAAAAATAGTGGAATGTTTACCCGTTTACTTCACCACATTTTATATTTTACAGTTTTACCTTTTTTTAGACTGGTTATCATCCAAATATAGAGTGGTTAATCTACTCTACTATTTAACCTATAGTAGAAGGGAGAAGAAATTTCCAAAGGGTATTTGTGCAAAAGTAAATGCAGGAGGCTAGGCCGTACTTTAAGTCGGCGCACCAAATTCACGTTCCGTGCTGATAACAATAACCCTACCCTCACATACCCATTCAGATTAACGTAAACGAAATAGGGTTGGGATCTTACAGAACAACCATTGATTTTCTGGCAACCGATCCTTTACGACCTCTTTTAATTTATACAAAATTATGAATGCGCTAATAATCTGTAAATCTATCGGCAGACGGCAAAATTCTAATCAGTTTTGACAAATTCAGCGCATCTCAAAATTAAGAAACATTGTAAAGAATGTCTACAAATCATTCGTATCACCGAATTGTTTAGGCTGTGTTAGGTAAATAAAAAAAGTTAGAATATAAAGAAAAAACAAAGATAGTCAATAGAAAAATCAGTATATTAATAAAAAAAAATATGTAGACCTCTTCAGAAAAAGATTATTCATTAAAGTCGTCTTTTGTCATTATTCCATGAATTATTCTGACTAGTATCCTCATCTTTGTTGTATTCAACTCTCCAGCCTTCCTAGTGTTGTCTAAAGTTCTCAGATAAAGTATTAACATTATTCCACGAATTATTCAGACTAGTATCCTCATCTTTGTTGTATTCAGCTCTCCAGCCTTCCTAGTGTTGTCTAAAGTTTTCAGTGGAAGCATTGTCATTATTCCATGAATTTTTTCTGATTGGTATCCTCATCTTTGCTGTATTCAACTCTCCAGCCTTCCTAGTGTTGTCTAAAATTCTCAGTGGAAGCATTGTCATTATTCCATGAATTTTTCTGACTAGTATCCTCATCTTTACTGTATTCAACTCTACTCTATGGCACCCAATGCAAGGAAAGACTCAAAACTCTAGAAGCTATTATCGTACAAAATAAACAGTCCACATTAAATAAAATATTATTCACCACTGGATATGGTATCTTGAAGTGTATATGATATAACTAAAAAAAAAAAATCATAAGAAAGATTAATTAATTAATAAAATGAAATAAATAAATTGAATGTCTTCGTGCGGCCTCGTTCCCAATCGTCGTTACACTTGACGTCACGCGAGGTCATTTCAAACGTCCAGCTTCCCAAAGAATATCAGGATTCAAACAAAGGAATCCTAACTACCACACCGACACCACCTCTGTTATTGATAATGACTGCGAAGCTGAAAGTACTTCAACAAAATTAACAAAATATGAACACAATAACAATATATATATATATATATATATATATATATATATATATATATATATATATCGGACGCAATAACAAAATACTCAACACCTTATGCGGAAATTGGAAAAATATTATAATAAAAATTAAACAGACAAACCTTGTCAGTTATTTTTAATAAAGCTTGTTTGGATGATTACTTGCTGCCTAAATAAATACATATATATATATATATATATATATATAAAGAGAGAGAGAGAGAGAGAAACCATGGCTAATGCTAACCTCCAGGAAAATGACTCGTTGTCTCTTCTTAACTAGCGTTCTCAGTTGAAATGAAGTGGGAAACTATATTGAAACCATCGCTAAGAAAAAGTTAGTTCGCTGTGTCATGCGAGATAATTTCTCTTTCCAGAATCCATCTTACATATCTATAAGTCAACCATTCGTCCATACTTCGAATATTGTTGGCACATATGGTCTGGAGATCCCACCTTGATAAAATCCAAAGAAGAATCAGCAATATTATTGGTCCTGATCTGGCGTCTCAGCTTCAATCACATTTCCAACGACGTAAAGTTGCTTCCCTGTGCCTTTTCTATTTTTACTTTCATAGTAATTGTTCAGATGAGCTCTTCGCTATGGTACCTAGACTTTTGAAATTTAAATTGTATATATACTGATATAAACAAATAAATAATCCGTAAGTTTAAATATTACAATCGTTCAAATGCTTCTATTTGCAGGATTGAATAACCCTTCATTAGATTTCTGTGTACATTTAATATTTCTCATAATTATATTTTTAACGATAGAATAGAAGGAAGAAAAAATCCGAGCTGAATGGACGTTGACAAATTCAATTCGTTTAATTTTTTTATATTATTATTATTATTACTATTATTATTATATTTTATAATGGCAGCAAATAACACATCCAACTTAATCTAGGCATTTAAATGTGACATTATCACTAGACTCAATTCTTGTATGTATTTCAAATTTAAAATTTGAAATTTATACTTATCGTTTGCTTTGAAGAGTATAAATATGTGAACTTCTATAGAATTCTCGGACAACTGATCCTGACGAGTGGTGTGACGTGAAACAGATGAGTCGGTCTATGAGCTATGTCCATTGAACATTTATAGTTTTATTTAACACGCACGCACACGCGCACATCCTGGGTATGACGATGAACTACATCCACATCCTGGGTAAGGCGATAAACTACGTCCAACAGGAGGTTTTGCTGAGCGTGGAACCACCTCTTAATTGCTGGTGTTTCCAGGTCCACTCTGCCCGGTGTGGTAGCACCTGTTGGGGGTCCCAGGTATGGGCAAATCGTTAACCCCCGAGCTGGGATCAAAACACTATGAAAGTTTAAAAATAGGTTTTCATACCAGAAATACTTTGTAAAAATTATTACCAGAAATAGATTTTTGAGGAAAAAATGATTACCAGCAATACATTATTACCAGAAATATATTTTTGGATAAAAAAATTATCAGCAATAAAAATTGTCGGCTTTGAATAACCCAGTGAGGTTGATATGCTGTAAACCAAACCAAACCAAACAAAAACACACACAGACACACACATGCATATTGCTGATAAACCCTGAAGAGTGGACGAACTGGTCCGCCTACGAAACTCTGGAGTCAGAATGCTGAAGGTAACATCAATCAGCTGACAAACCTTTTACTTATATTAATCCTGCATATATATATATATATATATATATATATATATATATATATATAGAGAGAGAGAGAGAGAGATTGTGAAGAGAAAGAGAAAGCGAGAAACAAAGGAGAGACAGATCCCTTAAATTGATGTGCATATACCGTATATGCTGACGTACAAGGTAACTGGGCGTATAAGACGACTCCAAATTTTTCAGGTTAAAATGTAGTTTTCGGGTTATATTCGCCGTACAAGAATACTTCCGGTCTAAATCTTATTTTAAAATTTATTGTGTTGAATTTATTAAACAAATTCAGTAAACATATACATTTTTTTCACTCAAATTTTAATGAACAAATGGTGGGAGATATTTTCATTTAACTACCATTATCTACAATACCTCATGAGTGGATGCTGTGTTTTCAGTAGGCTGTTACGGTAACCTGAATTTCTTTTACCCACTAACAATCCATCCATTACACTGTTATCGAAAAGCATTTTTAAACGACTTGTGGAGACACATATCCAGTTGTGTTTTTGTTCAACATCATCGAAAAAAGGAGGTGAGGCAAGGGTTAGCCTGCCGTCAAAAATCTCCCATGCTAACAACTTATCATAAACCACAGGATTTAAGGTTCACAATGGGGACCGTCTTATACTCCAGATATAAATATCTGGAGTATAAGACGGCCCCCTATTTTGTGGGGATGTTTTTAAGGCTTAATGGTCTCCTTGTACGCCGACATATACGGTAGTTGATTTTTTTTCCACTTTCCAATAAATCACAAACTAAGTTCGTTTTGGTTGTGCTGATTATTTTGAATATTTCACAATCTCTTCCCGACCCCCAATATGCAAGCAGTCCATGTTTTGTCAACAGAAAACCTTAACAACAATCAAATGAAGAAAAAGAAACATCAATATTAATGAGACAAAAAGGTAAATGTTAAAAGGTTAGATCATAATCTCTGTCAAGGTGGGGGTCTGCTCAGGAAGAAATCCAAGATCGACACCCCACACAGGGTATAATAGAGAGAGACCTACGTACCGATTCTTGTCACTTCGTCACCGACGTCCTCACCTTCTCTTAATCGGTCACGGCCTCAGTAGACTCTCCCATGGGTTGGCTCTAAATCCCAGCCTTTCAACTCCTCTTGTTTGCTTGTAATTACGGTCTATTTATGATGTGGCAAGATTTTCACACTCTTTTCAAAGAGGGGGCGCTGAAAAAAACCATGAAACCGTTTCAAATTTCAAATCAAAGATCGAATTTTGAGAAATGAGTAGGCTCGGCAACTTTTCAGCATAGCTACGTAATAATGTTAATTAATGGTGTGGTTAGTCATTTCCATACAAGAAAACAATTGGTTCTACTTTGTCTTGTTATCTACAAGGAACAAAACATCTACACCGTACAGATTTTATTTTTGGAATGATATCTACAGAGTAAAACAGGTGCTACTTCAGCTTGTTCTTTTTCTTGTAGATAACAAGCCAAAGTAGCACCGAAACAATCTATATGGTGTGAAGATTTGGTTATCGTTAGATGAATTGATTCTGTCAAAAATTTGGCTTTCATATATTGATTGAAAGAAGACCTACCGGGATATGATTTTTTTTTTAATTCGACTTCACGCCACTTGCTTTAACGGTCGAAGAATTTGAAACGCCTAAAACACGATTAAAGTCAACAATAAGATGAAAAAAATACAAGTAAAAAATATTAATGAAAATACTTAATCTCAGAATTTGGTTAGTAATCCAGCATTTATGGACAATTAAAAAAATAAAAATAAATAATAGCTAAAAATCAATGTCGATTATTGTA